GTGGTGTGGAAGGGGGGTGGAATTGGGGTGCAGGGAGGGATGGGGGGTAGGAGGGTCTGGGGGTGGTGTGGGGGTACGGGGGGGATGGGATGGGATGGGATGGGGGGTGTGAGGGTCTGTGGTTGGTGTGGGGGTACGGGGGGGATGGGATGGGGGGTGCAGGGGGATTGAGTTGTGGGGGGCTGGTGTGGAAAGAGGATGGAGTTGGGGTGCAGGGGGGGTTGGGGGGGTATGAGGGTCTGGAGGGGTGGTGTGGGGTGAGGTGGGGGTACGGGGGGGATGATGTTGCGGGAGGGTTTGGGGGTGCTGTGGGGGTATAGGAGAGGTGTGGTATAGAGGGGGGGTGGTGTGGGGGTCCGGCGCGGGGATAGTGGGAGGATTTTGGGGTGGGAGGTGTGGTATGGGGCGTGTATGGGGGCTCGGGGGGTTATGGAATAGGGGGTGTGGTGTGGAAGGGTTTTGGTATTGGGGTGCAGGACAGGGGGGAGGGACGGTGTGGGGGTGTGGGGTTATGGTGGGGGATAGAAGGTCTGGAGTGTGTGGTATTGGGTGCAGGGGGTGGGGTACGGTATGGGGGTGCTGGGCTGTGGGGATTCGAGGAGTTATGGCATGGGGGGTTAGTATAGGGGTGCGGGGGATGAGCTACAGCGACGTAGGGGACGGCAGGGTGGGGTGTGTGATGGTTCGGGGTGCTATGGTGTGGTCCGGAGGGTGGTATGGGGGTGCAGGAGATGAGGCATAGGAGGGTAGGGTATGGAAGGGGGAGTGTGGGGGGGTTCGGGGTGCAGGGGGATGTAATGTAAGGGGTGGGGGGTGTATGGGCGTTCGAGGTGCTCTGGTACAGTCCGGGCGGTGGCACAGACTTGCTGGGGGTGTGTCGGGGGGGCCAAGGACTTATCGTTTCTGCTCGGGGGGCGTCCCTGAGGGTCCCGGGCTGTGCAGCCCGGTGGGCGGGCGGGCGGTAGGTCAGGCCACGCCCCCGTGAGGCAAAGCCACTCCCATTATCCCACAAGCCCCGCCCCTTATGCGCAAGCCCCGCCCCCGACGCTCACGAGCCCGTTCCGTGATGTGCGCAAGCCCCGCCCACAGCGAGCAACCCCCCGCCCCTCGTGCCCAAGCCCCGCCCCCAGCGCGCACGAGCCCGTCCGAGGGATGCTCAAGCCCCGCCCCCGGGGTGCCCAAGCCCCGCCCCCAGCAGCACCAGCCCCGCCCCCGGCGGCTCTCGCGGCGCGGCTCGGCAACGTCAGCGCCTCGCGCGCGTCGCGCTCGTGTCGTCAGCGGCCCTGAGGGCGGCGGGAGGGGCCGGGCGGGACCGGGACCGGACCGGGACGAGGGCCGGTACAGGGGCCAGGAACGGACCGCGCCGGGGCGGCCCCGCGGGCACCGGCAGCGATGGCGCCGCGGCTGCAGCTGGAGAAGGCGGCGTGGCGCTGGACCGAGACGGTGCCGCCCGAGGCGGTGGCGCAGGAGCACATCGAGGCGGCCTATCGCGTCCGGCTGGAGCCCTGCCAGCGCGGAGCCTGCCGGTACCGCCGCACGGCCCCCTCCGCACCGCCCTCGGGGGGCTGGGGCATCCCGCGGGCACCCAGCACCCGCCTCCCACCGACCCCGGGGTTCGGGGGCTCCCCAGGGCTGCGGGACCCTGCTCTGCCCATCTGCAGGGTTTGGGGCTCCCTCAGGCACCGAAAATCCCCTCTGCTCATCCTCGGGGTTTGGGGGCTCCCCCTGGCACCGAACCTCCCCCCCGCCCGCCCCTGGGGTTTGGGGGCTCTCCAGGACTGTGGGACCCCCTCCTGTGCCCATCATCAGGGTTTGGGGCTCCCCTGGGCACCTAACACCCCTCTCTGCCCACCCCTGGGGCTTGGGGGCTCCCCCGGGCACTAAGCCCCCCCTCTGCCTGTCTTCGGGGTTTGGGGCTCTCCTACTCCCCCGGGCTGGGGGCCCCTCTCGCTCCCTCCCCCCCCCCGAGATGGGAGGGGCTCCCCGCCCTTTAGGGGTCCCTCGGGGTTGGTAGAGACCCCCCCTGTGTTTACTTGGGGGGGGGACACCCCGTTCCCAGGGCTTGGGGGGCCCTCAGCCCTCCCTGTGCAGCTCCACGGATTTAGGGGATTCCTTGGATTGGGGGGACCCCCTGTCCCTGCCTGGATATGGGGCCCTCACCCTTGAGTTGTGGGGAACCCTTTTGTTCCCCAGCTCCCCAGATACAGGGTTGTGGGGGACCCCTCTAGTTGTTTGGATGGTCTGATGTGGGGGACACCCTGTCCCTGCCTCGCTCCTCGAATTCAGGGCACCACCCTGGCATTGGGGGGACCCCCCCCGATGGGGTTGTGGGGGACCCCTCTCCTTGCTTGTTCCCCTTCAGGCATTGGGGAACCCTGGGGTTGTAGGGAACCCCTATCCCTGCCTGGCTCCTCAGATATAGGGGACACCCCCAGAGACCCCTCCTTCTCCCTCCTCAGGTATAGGGGAACCCTGGGGATGTGGGGAACTCTGTAGGGTTGCCTGGCTCCTCATATATAGGGGACCCCCATGGGTTGTAGGGAACCCCTGTCCTTGCCCAGCTCCTGAGGTGTAGAGGACCACCCTCCAACTTGGGGTTATGGGGGACCCCTCTCCCTGCCTGGCTCCCCAGAAATAGGGACACACCCCTGGGTTGTGGGGACCCCTCTCCTTGCTTGTCCCTCCCCTTACACAGGGGACCCCCATGGGTTGTAGGGAACCCCTCTCCTTGGTCCTCAAATATTGGGGGACCCTCTCCCTGCCTGACTCTCCAGATAGAGGGGACCTTCCTCCTGGGCTCTGGGGGGACCCTCTGGTTGCCTGGCTCCCTAGATATAGGGGACACCCCCAAGGAGTCTTTGGGGACCCCTCTCCCACCCTGGCTCCTCAAATATTGGGGACCTCTCTCCCTGCCTGGCTTCTCAGATCTTGGGGATCCCTCTTGTTGCCTGACTCCCCAGTTATAGGGGACACCCACCCCCACATCCCATACTCTTCCTGGGTTCCCCTTTCCCCTCCCTCTGACCTTCTCCATCCCCTTTTTTTGTCCCTAACCACCATTTTCGGGGGGGGTGACCCATATCCCACCGCATTCCCTCCGTTCATCCTTACGGGGTCCCCTCTTGCCCTGTCGCCTCCCCCTGCCCCCAGGGGACATGGGGGTGACACTTGGGGTCCCTTCTCCCAGGAGGAACTGCCGGGGAAACCCCAACTGCCTGGTGGGCATCGGGGAGCACGTGTGGCTGGGCGAGATCGATGAGAACAGCTTCCACAACATCGACGACCCCAACTGCGAGCGCCGCAAGAAGGTACCCCCCAAACCCCCCAAAAACTCACCCCCTGCCTTCCCCAGTGCCAGGGGACGAGGGGAGGCGACCCCTGACCCTTTGTGCCCCCCCAGAACGCCTTCGTGGGCCTGACCAACCTGGGGGCCACGTGCTACGTGAACACCTTCCTGCAGATGTGGTTCCTGAACCTGGAGCTGCGCCAGGCGCTGTATCTGTGTCCCAGCGCCTGCAGCGACGGCGTCCCCAAGGACACAGGTGGGTGGCACGTTCTCCTGGGAGAGGGACAGTCCCTCCTTTCCTCCCAAAACTGGATGTTGGCTCTGGGATAGATTCATCAGGGGGATCTGTGGGTGAAGCATCAGATGATCATCCTGTCGCCACGGCGTTGGTTTGGAGCCACCACCTGGGTTTTGGGAGCACAGTGACCTTGATCCAAGGGATTTCGTGGATCAGGGGGGTCTGAGGTGGTTGAAAAGGCTGATTTGGGTTTGTTTCTTGCCTGGCTGGTTCCCAAAGCCCAGTGGTGGTGCTGGGGGTGGAACACATGGATTGGGGCTGATCTGGGCTCTCACAGAGCTAAACTTATCTCATGGGAGGGCAGAAATTGAGATTCCAGGGAGGATTAAGGCTCCCAACTGCTCCCAGTCCATGTGGGTGCTGTCCCTGTGGGTGCTCTGGGTCAGTGCAGCCACCTCAGCTCTGTTCCTGTTTTATGGTGGTTTTACATGATGTTTCACCATTTTGGGTAAATCAGAAGCATATGCTGCTTAAACCCTTCACTCCCAGCTCCTGCTGGGCACTGTGGGATAGGATCATGGAATCACTGAGGTTGGAAAAGCCCTCTGAGATCATCAAGCCCAACCATTCCCCCAGCACTGCCCCCCAGCACTGCCCTGTTCATCCCTAAACCATATCCCCAGATGCCACATCCACATGTTTTTGGAACACCTCCAGGGATGGGGACTGCGCCACCTGCGTGGGCAGCCCCTTCCAGTGCCTGACCACACTTTCCATGAAGGAATTTTCCCTGATACCCAACCTAAACCTCCCCTGGCACAGCTTGAGGCCATTTCCTCTCATCCTGTCCCTTGTTCCCTGGGAGCAGAGCCGACTCCCCCCCGGCTCCACCCTCTTGTCAGGGAGTTGCAGAGAGCAAATATTTACAGTTGGACTCCATGATCCCAAGGGTGTTTTCCAACCTAAATCATTCTCTGTTTTGCCTGTGCTGGGATTTGCCCTCATCACCAACACGAACTCTTTGAGTTCTCTCGACAACTAAAACCAGCTTCTAAACCCACCATTTCTAGTCGTGAACTCACTCTGACAAAGCCAGACCGGGCAAAATACCTGGATCAATCCCTTCCTGCCCTGAATTCCCGCCTGTGCCTTGTGTTTCCCCCAGACTACGAGCCCCAGAGCATCTGTGAGCACCTGCAGTACCTGTTTGCGCTGCTGCAGAACAGCAAACGGCGCTACATCGACCCCTCGGGCTTCGTCAAGGCCCTGGGGCTGGACACGGCCCAGCAGCAGGTGGGTGGGGGCCTGGGCATTCCAGGGACCTGGAATTGCCCTTGGATGGTGGTTTGGCCGTTCCCAGCTGGGTCTTGCTGCTGGGGGCAAACACGAAGGGAGGAGTGTGGCTCCGGGCCCTTCTGGAGCACAGCGGGAATGAGAGGGGGCCAGGGAGTGAGGGATGGGGCCAGGGAGTGATGGGATGAGCCAGGGAGTGAGGGATGGGGCCAGGGAGTGATGGGATGAGCCCAAGGAGTGAGGGATGGGGACAGGGAGTGATGGGATGGGGCCAGGGAGTGAGGGATGGGGACAGGGAGTGATGGGATGAGCCAGGGAGTGAGGGATGGGGACAGGGAGTGATGGGGTGAGCCCAGGGGGAGCCCAGGGAGCAGTGGGATGGGGACAGGGAGATCAGGAAGAGCTCAGGGAGTGAGGGGATGGGGCCAGGGAGTGATGGGATGAGGACAGAGAAATCAGGAGGAGCCCAGAGAGCAATGGGGTGGGAACAGGGAGTAATGGGATGGGGACAGAGAGATCAGGAAGAGCCCAGGGAACAATGGTATGAGGAGAGGGAGCAATGGGATGAAGACAGGGAGATCAAGAAGAGGGCAGGGAGCAATGGTGTGGCAGTAGATCTGCAGTGCATGAGAGGCTGTTGTTTAAACATGTTTCAAAATGGCTTTTTGTAGCTAACCCATGCTTCTTCTTCCCAAGACCCCCCAGGGCAAGTGTTATCTCTGTCTCAGGAATGTCCTGAGAAGATATCAAGAGGTCTTCTCATTGGCCTTTGTTAACCCCTTCCTGTTGGCTATTAACTCTAGACAATGGGATGAGGACAAGGGAGATCAGGAGGAGCCCAGAGAGCAATGGGGTGGGAACAGGGAGTGATGGGATGAGGACAAGGACTAATGGGGTGAGGAAAAGAGAGATCAGGATCAGGCCAGGGAGCGAGGGGATGAGGACAAGGAGCAATGGGATGAGGCCAGGGAGATAGGAGGAAGCCAGGGAGTGATGGGATCAGGACAGAGAGTGTTAGGATGAGGCATGGGAGATAGGAGTGCAAGGAGTGATGGGATGAGGATAAGGAGCAATGGGATGAGGACAGGAGAGGAGGAGCCCGGGGAGTGATGGGATGGAGACAGGGAATGTTGTAGTGCCTGATGGCCCTGGCACTGAGCTGGGCGGGGGGGACACAAAGCTGCTGTGAGGGTCCTCTTGCAGGTGTCCCACGGGCTGTTCCACCCCAGTGGGTGGTTGGGGAGGTTTTAGGGCCCTCCCAGGGCAAGGAGATCCTAATGGGATCACTGGGAGCCAGCCAGGGTGAGTGCTGCAGGATCCTGTGGGGCTGCAGCTGGAGAGAGCTCGGGAGAAGGGCTTGGGAATCCACTTGGAGAGGTAACGGAGGTGGTTGAAGGAAGGGCCTGAGCACCAGCAGGGAATTCCTTGGGAGGACCAGGAGGGGAAGGAAACAGTCCTTGCCAGCCAGGGACACTGAAAGGGCAGCTGGGAGAGGCCAAAACCTGTTTGTTTTTGGAAGAGCAGAGCCAGGGTGGGAGAGGAAAATCCTGGGCTGGGCGTGGGGAAACTCAGGAGCCTGGCAGGGATCAACCTCAGGGCAGCCTCTCGTTTTTGGGGTGTTTTTATTGCCCTGCTCACCTCTGCTCCCAGCAGGGACAGCTGGCTCTGCGAGCCGAGCTTGGAAAATCGAGACTCAGGGGGCCAGAAAGCTCCACAGGAGGGTTTTTATTCCTTCCAGAGCCCTGGGAAGAGCAGGGCAGGAGTCAAACCCCCGGCGGGCTGGCTGGGGGCCAGGGGAGCTCAGCCCTGCTCCCACACCAAGGGCCTCACGCTCCTTTTAGCCAAATTCCTCTTTTTCTCTTCAGTTCTCCCGACTAGTCTTCATTTTCCATTCAGTGCACAGAGCCTGGGTACAGCCTGTGCGTGGGGCTCGGGGTAATTAGCACTAAATTAGTGCCAGGGTTGTGACTGTGCTGTGGTGGGCTTGTTAATGAACTCGGGTTTCTCTCTTTTCAGGATGCCCAGGAGTTTTCCAAGCTGTTCATGTCCCTGCTGGAAGATACTTTATCCAAACAGAAGAACCCAGACGTCAGGAACATCGTGCAAAAGCAGTTCTGTGGAGAGTATGCCTATGTCACTGTGTGAGTATTGGCTTTGGGAAGAACCTCCTAGTAAATATTTGAATTTTTAGAAGGATTTGAGAGGGGAAGATCCCTCCTGCAACGGGACCAGGCAGGTGAGGTGCTGCAGAAACCTTTTCTGAGGGATTTTTAAGCTTTTTAATGTCCTGTTTCTATGCCTGTGTTGTTGCTGTCTCACTTCTCCAGCTGCTTTTAGTCCTTTAATGAAAATTCACCAATTAAACCTGCAAGTGAGTTGATGGAATGGCAAATCCTGCAGCCAGAAAACAGCATCCTGGGTGTTGTATTTTCATTCCTGCGTTCTCAGAGCTGTGGATTTCACCTTAAAAATGATACAAAATGGTGCAGATTTCACCTTTAAAATGATACAAAATGATGCACGTGAGCTGTAACAGGTCCTGGTAGCTGCTGTTGTGCTGGTTGCACCTTCTCGTGGAGTCTTTGTGGTGTGGAGTTGTGAACATCCTCCACCCTGACTCCACTTTTTTCTCCTGGCTTTATCCAAGGAATATCTTGCTTGTGGCTGGGACACAGGAACCATGACCTGTCTTCATATATTTTTATCTTCTTTCCAATCCCAGCTGCAACCAGTGTGGCAGAGAATCCAAACTGGTGTCCAAATTTTACGAGCTGGAGTTAAACATCCAAGGACACAAGCAGCTGACAGACTGTATAACAGAATTCCTCAAGGTAGGAGCTCGTTGGAATGCTGCTATTTTTAGCCAGGAATTTAAATTCCTTCCTCCAATTCACAGCCTTTGAGGTCGGTGTTGGAGCAAGTTGGCTCAGTGAGATGCATCCAAGTGAAAATGTTTCTTTCTGTGGGACACAAAAAATGAGGATTGAGGCAGAGCCACTCCTTGCTCATGTTATGGCTTTAAAAAGCACTTGGAAGTTGCATTTTTAGTTAAAATACTTTGCCAGGAAAGCTGGGAATAAGTCCCTGCATGCTTTGTTGTGGATAGCACGGGGAAAAGGGCTGGGCTTCGTGTTCTCTGTGTCAGTGCTCATCTGCACAGCAACAGGAGACATTCCCTGCTGGAAAATGTGCTCTCAGAAATGCTGGGGAGCGCCGGGAATAGCTTTGGGAACAGCTGCAAGTGCTCCTATTCAGCTTGAAAATTTGCCTGGATCCGAAGCTCAGCTCCGGCACGTTAAGGTGTGGATTCCACTGGAAATCTTTAGGACAGAACTGAGCTGAACCCCTGTCCCTGAGCTCCCTGGCTGCTGCTGCTGCTGCACTCAGCAAACCGGTTGCTCTGCCTGTGGAAGGTCTGCTATGAAAAAAAACTGGTTTGGGTGCACAAATTAAACTCCTGAATTGGTGAACTGGATGTTTGTCTGCTCCTCCTTCACACAAAACCACCCAGTGACCTTGGCTGGGGGGGTTGGAATTCTCCTCTGGACTAATCCTGCACTTGGGCCTACTTAGGCTCCAACAGTGACTCTTGCAGGGTGATTTTGGGTGGCTGAGCAGAGGGTTGGAGTTTCCAGGCTGAAATGTGGCTTTGCATTAACTTGGGCCACGTGAACTCATAAAAGGGGTGATTTAATTATTTTCTTTGATCTAAACCAACTCAGTGAAGCAAGGAGCAAACCTGCCAGTCTTGTGAGAGACCTGACAACTTGGAATGGGTCTAAAATTGGCCTTAAAGTGAGAGCAGCCTTCTCTGGCCATGCTGGAATGTGCAGTTTTATAAGCGTGTCTTTTAACTGAGAGATTAATTAGGGAAGAGCAACCGGAAAGAGACTTAAACAGTTAAAATCACTTCGGTGTTTTTAGTCTCCAGCTCTCGAGTGGCTCGGTTGACTTTTCAGTGCTGAGCTGTTCTCCACACCTTTCCCTCTCCCTCTCTCCACACTCAGGAAGAAAAATTAGAAGGGGACAATCGTTATTTTTGTGAGACTTGTCAGAGCAAGCAGAATGCCACGAGGAAGATCCGCCTGCTCAGCCTGCCCTGCACCCTCAACCTGCAGCTCATGCGCTTCGTGTTCGACAGGTCAGTGGGAACACCCTGCAAGCTCTTTGGGAAGCGCCTGCTCGGCTCTTCCTGCTTTAATTGAGAGGTCAGGGGGTGTCTGAGCTTCTCTAGGGGGTCAAGGGGTGTTATTTTGGGGGGGTGAGCTGTTATTGCTGTGCCCTGAGCCGAAGCTTTGCCCCTGCACAGGCAAACTGGTCACAAGAAGAAGCTGAACACCTACATCGGCTTCTCGGAGCTGCTGGACATGGAGCCTTTTATGGAGCAGAAAAGTGAGTTTGGGGAGGTTTTTTTGTTGTCTTTACCCATGGTCTGTCAGCAGATGAGGGGTCTCTGGGATTCTGTTTAAGAAGAAATCCTTCCCTTGCAGCCAGGAATTTCCTTCTTTGTCCATCCTGGGGAAATCTGTACACACCAGTCTGTCTGCAGTGCCAGTGACCTGTGTGGGGCTTGGAGTGCCTGCAGCTCAGGGGGTCAGGGTTAGATGGGATATTGGGAAGGAATTCCTGGCTGTGAGGGTGGTGGGGCCCTGGCACAGGTTGCCCAGAGAAGCTGTGGCTGCCCCATCCCTGGAAGTGTCCAAGGCCAGGTTGGACAGGGCTTGGAGCAACCTGGGATAGGGGGAGGTGTCCCTGCCCATAGAACAAGATGGGCTTTAAAGTCTCTTCCAACTCAAGCCGTTCTGTGATTCCTGTGAATCCTCTTTTTGATGGGAAATGATGCCAAGAGCCGTTTGAAGCCTGTGTTTCAAACAACATCCTCGTTAAGTGGGTCGTGGAAGCCACAACCTACTTAGCGAGGTCCCGGGAAGCTCCACGTTGGAATGCAGCATTTGCTGCCGGGTGAAAACACGGAGCTTTGGGGCTGAAAACACAGAGCTTTGGGAAAGGGGGGGGTTGTGCTGCTGGCTCTGGAGCTGGGTGTGAGCTGCTGTGCCCTCACAGACGGGGTGTACGTGTACGAGCTGAGCGCTGTCCTCATCCACCGCGGCGTCAGCGCCTACTCCGGCCACTACATCGCCCACGTCAAGGACCCGCAGACGGGCGAGTGGTACAAGTTCAACGACGAGGACATCGAGAAGATGGAGGGCAAGAAGCTGCAGCTGGGCATCGAGGAAGATCTGGGTAAAACCTTTCAGCTGTCAGTGCCCTTTTCAAGCAACTCCTTTCCCCAAAGCCACAGATCCTGTTGCTCCCCGAAGCTCCCGCGTGCTGTTGCGGCTCCACGGCAATCCTGGGGATTGCAGCCAGATTTGTTTGGTTTCGGCCCTGCACGAGTGTTTACACCTCGTGATCAGCTCCTCTAGTATTTCTCTGGCTGCCACATGGCAGATAAGGTGCTGATAACTCCAACAGCAGCTCCTATCAGGGTGCAACAGGCGAGTGCTGCTTCCTTGGCCGGTGTTGGAACAGATAAACGGGAATACTTTCAGTTCCCTTAACTCATTAGGGTTGTATTTCCACTGAGCTGTTTGACTTAAGAGTCAGTAAAAAAACAAAATCTTGATCCAAATAACAAGCTGGAAGCTAAAACTGCCCTTTCACTCTGGTGGGTCCCTTTGGATCTCTGCAGAGGGGGTCAATCCTATAAATCACACACCTTATTCCCCCCAATAACACCCCCAAACCTTTTCCAGCCCCACCCCCCAGCCCTAAAACACACTCTCCAAGCCACAAAACTTCAAGAATTAGCACTAATTCCTGCCTGGATCTGTATTTTTAGCCTGTTTCCTGAGCTGTCTTGCTCTCCCTTTCCTCCTACCCCTGTGCCTAAAACAATAACTCAACAAAAACCTCCTGTTGACTTCTCCTTGCTGCTTTTCTGTTTTACCATTGCTGGCTCATCCTGTGCTGCTCAAATCACTGTGTTCCTGCACTGGATTTCCTGGGGATTTCTTGGAGAGCTTGGGCTGAGGCTGGACCTGCTGGTTTCTCACTCTGCAGCCAATAAATGAGAGTGTTTAATTGGCATTTTGAGGGCTGGACTGGGCAGTGGCTCAGTGTTCCACAGTGCAGGTGCTTCGTGGTGGGGGAAATGAATGAGAAATTCCACTTGCAGTGCAAGGAATCCATTCCCAGGAGTGCTGGCTCACCAGGATGCTTTGCTTTGGTTGGAATTTATGGAATGTGGCCTTTCTTTAAAGCATCCCTAAGGGAGAGGTTGAAGTTTGGTGTAACCATGAACCTCCCTCTCCCATTTCCCTGCCCTCACCTGCAGGAATGTGCCCAGAGATGGGCAACGGAGCTGGGGAAGGGTCTGGAGCATGAGGAAAGGGGTCTGGAGAACCTCTGGAGAGCAACTCAGGGAGCTGGGGGGACTCAGCCTGGAGAAAAGGAGGCTCAGGGGGGACCTTCTGGCTCTGCAACCCCCTGACAGAAGGGGGGAGCCGGAGGGGTTGGACTCTGCTCCCAGGGAACAAGGGACAGGAGGGGAGGGAACAAATTGTGCCAGGGGAGGTTTAGGTTGGATCCTGGGGACAATTCCTACATGGAAAGGATGGTCAGGCACTGGAAGGAGCTGCCCAGGGCAGTGGTGGAGTCCCCACCCCTGGGAAGAGTTCCAAAGGTGTGGAATGTGGCACCTGGGGCCAGTGCTGGGTTAATGGTTGGACTGGGTGATCTTGGAGGGCTTTTCCAGCCTGAGTGATTCCATGGTCCTGCCTGCCCCCAGCAGCTCTGTCCCGTTAATGTTTGACTCTCCCAGGCCAGGATGGAGCTGCCCAGACCTCTAGTGGTGTAAGGGAAAATTAAACCCTGAAAGGTTTGAGCAAAAGAGCTGCTCAGCCTTCGTTTTTAACCTCCCCGGAGTGGCAAAATAAGATGCAAATAAACCACTGTGGTCTCGATTTTTATAAAGTTTTATGCTTAACCACAAGTCAGTATTCTTGTTTCTTGTATTTCAATACAAGGATGTTTGGAGAGTGGAATTAAAGGGCGTTTAGAAGCCTCTCTAGGGCTGGGAGCCCAATACTTTTATCAAGTTTTGATGTTATTTGTCTGTTCCGAGCAAAACTGAGGCTTTTCTTTGTTCCAAATCCATGTAACAGCAGGAGAAGGTCAGTAACATACAGTGAAGGTCTGTGGTGGGGGGAGAGCCCTGGCCACAGATGGGAACAATTTAGAAAATCCTTGCAGAAAATGCAAGTAAATAGAGTCTGGGAAGTCCTCTGGATGGTGAGAGGAGAGGCACATGAATTTTTCCACAATTTGGGAAGAACAGACACTTGCTCTTAATATTTCAGTGGTCCATTTAGACTTTGACCTATGGAACATTGTTCCTTTAATTTTTTTTCTTTATTAAAAGTGGTCTGATTTTTGAGGCTGCAGCTGTAGAGGAGTGTTTTCCTTGCCTGAGAATCCATCTGGAAACAGCAGCTCTTGCAACACAGCTTTACATCCCCCACCAGCTGCTCCAAAACAACCCTTCCCGTGGCTGTTGGCTCCCTAAAAACTTTGCTGTGTGTGTTTTTTTTCCCCTCCACGGTCACCTGTAAATACGAATTTCTTCCCTGAGGATTTGACTCTTTTCCTTTGGAGTCAGGACACCAGAACAAGAGGCGAGAAGAGAGAAAGGATGTTTTTCCAAGAGTTGCTGTTGGCTCAGAGAGGTTCCACTGGGGAGAGAAGAAAGGCTCTTGGAGAAGGGAGGTTCAGAACAGGCTCCTAAATTTAGTGCCTTTGATTTACCCAGAGAGGCTGGAGGGATTTGGGGCTTTCTTTGGGATGCAATTTTGAGCCATGCCAAGCCCAGTGCTTGGCACGGAGGCCTGGCAGAGGGAAGCTGGCTAGGGGGCAAACTCATCCCGTGGAAGGAGGATCAGGCTGCTGTGTTGCTGAGGTTTTTCCCTTCTGTCCCACAGCGGAGCCGTCGAAATCCCAGACTCGGAAGCCCAAGTGTGGGAAGGGCACCCACTGCTCCCGGAATGCCTACATGCTGGTGTACAGGCTGCAGGCCAGGGAGAAATCCCTCACTGTCGAGGTGCCAGGTGAGTGATTTGGGAATCTGTGCCAGCCCGGGATGCTCCAGGTGGGCCCCAACATCGGGATTTTGCTCCAAGCCCCATTTTGGGGGCTGGAGTCCCTCTGCTCTAGAGCCAGGCTTGGGAGAGCTGGGGGGGTTCTGGAGAGCTGGAGAGAAGGTCCAGGGAGACCTGAGAGCCCCTTGCAGGGCCTAAAGGGGCTCCAGGAGAGCTGGAGAGGGACTTGGGACAAGGGCCTAGAGAGACAGGACAAGGGGGAATGGTTTTAAACTAAAAGAGGGGAAATTTAGGTGGGATATTGGGGATAAATTCTTCCCTTTTTCGGTGGGGAGGCCCTGGCACAGGTTGCCCAGAGAAGCTGTGGCTGCCCCATCCCTGGAAGTGTCCAAGGCCAGGTTGGACAGGGCTTGGAGCACCCTGGGCTGGTGGAAGGTGTCCCTGCCCATGGCAGGGGGTGGAACTGGATTATCTTCAAGGTCCTTCCAACCCAAACCATTCCATGATCCCATGATTTTTAACTGCTCTCCACGTGCCATGTGGCCCCTCAGTGTCATGACCAGTGTTCCCTCTGGGCTTTCCCAGCACTTAATGAATATTAACCTGCCCATCCCTCCCCTGTGCCTGCTCAGACCTCTCTGCCCTAACCAGCTGGTGGGGATGGGAAGGGGTCAGGAGGAAATCATCCCACTGGCATTTGCTGCAGGGATCCCACCGGGATTCCAGAGGCGAGGGAGAAGAGCGTGGTTGAATGTCGTGAGCAGTGCACGCTGTGTGCTGGAGGTGAATAATCCTGACAGATGTCAGGTTCCCTCTGCAACTGCTTCATCTTTGCCACATCACGAAGAAATGATGTGAAAACAAGAGGCTCCGAGCCCTGAGCGGGAATTTGGGCCGTGCTTTGGAACTGTGGGGGTGGCAGAGCTCCCTGGGGGCTTGGCCCGGAGATTTAATGATGCCTCACGTTTGCTGCTTGATTAGAAATATTAATTAGGCCCCTGGTGCTGAGGTGTGTTCCCCCTTCCTTTTCTGCAGAGGTGGTGGGTCCCTTTGGATCTCTGCAGAGGGGTTAAATCCTATAAATCAGACACCTTATTCCCCCAATAACACCCCCAAACCTTTTCCAGCCCCCCCCAGCCCTAAAACCCACCCCCCAAGCCACGAAACTTCAGGAATTAGCACAACTAATTCCTGCCTGGATCTGCATTTTCAGCCTGTTTCCTGAGTTGTCTTGCTCTCCCTTTCCTCCTACCCCTGTGCCCAAAACAATAACTCGACAAAAACCTCCCCACCCAGCTCCAAATTCCTGCGTTGCCTTTGTTTCCCGTGGAATCCTGCCAGGGAACAGGGAGCGAAGGGCAGCACTCTGAGCTTCTGTGGTTGCGGGGAGGTTTCATGCAACTGTAAATTTGAGGCATTTTGCTTTGATGCTGTTAAAAAGCGGCTTTTCCAGGACACTGGAGAGGCACAACTTGGCTCTGACCTCAAGGAGGTCAGGCTGGTTGGTTTTTAGTGCTGGGTATTCTCCCAAGGAGGATATTTTTTGCTCAAGAATTAACCTTTCTGCAGATATTTTAGCTCTTCAAAATAATTCTAAATAGGAAAAGGCCTCAGATAAGCAGAGCTTCCCCCCCCTCCTCACACCAGCCTTGGGAGGGAAGTGGTTTATCTTCTTTTTTTTTTTTTCCCTGCTGAGGTTTGGTTTTTGGGGTTTTTTCCATCCATGACAGCAAAAATTCCCATTTCCCTGGCCTTTCTGTTGGAGTGCTTATCTCCCATCTCCTGGGGGCTCTTTGCCCTTGGGTTTGCAGTGTGCTGGATCACAGGGCAGGACAGGCCTCAGGTGTATCCAGCTCTTGTTCCCACCCTGGGAACGATGGATCCTTGGCAGGACAGAGGAGCTGCCCTTAACACAGCAACCAACGCCCAGTAAATTATTTTCTTGGGTGCAAAATGTTGCTTTTAATCATCTACAACCACCAATACCGGGCGAGAGCAATGTCCACACGCCTGGGAATGGAACGTGAGGGAATTTGGAGGTTTGTTATCCCCAGATAACCCACGATAATTAACATAGCTGGCATTTTCCCCTCACATTCCTGGCTTTTTTTTTTTTCTTTTTCTTTTTCTCTCCCACCAGCTTTCCTGCAGGAGCTGGTGGAGAGGGATAACTGCAAGTTTGAGGAGTGGTGCAACGAGATGGCCGAGATGCGCAAGCAGAGCGTGGCCAGGGGGAAGATCAAACACGAGGAGGTGAAGGAGCTCTACCAAAGGTTACCCGCCGAAGCTGGTCTGTAAGACATTGTGGAGGATTTCTCTAGTAGAGCTGTTAAGATTGGTGATGATTTGTGACTAACCTTGCCCTCCCTGGAAGGCATTCCCGCAGCCCTCTGGAAGAGGAAAGCTCCGTGCATGCTTAGATTTGTTTTCCCTCGCTGCTTTTCCTGCCTTAACCTATTTTTTTCTCCTTTTTTTTTTTTTGGCCTCTGGCGTCGCTAATTCCCTCTTGCTCCTTCCCCATCAGTCAGCCTCATGCTTTGTGACTCTTTTCTTCTGCCTGCTGAGCAGCTTGTTAGGAGCAGCCAGGCAGAAGAACTTCCTGCTCCTGACTTGCCAGCTCAGGGCAGGTTTGGGAGCTGGTGATCCTGATTCAGCAGCAGGTAACTGGGAGAATGCCTGACCTCCAGCAGAAAATTAGTGGATCCATCCCTGCCAGTGCCTCAAAGCTCCATGTCTCAGCTTTGTAGTGGCTGGGGTTAATCCTTTCCTCCTGCTCCTTGTGTCTTGTCACCTCAGCACAAAGGGTTTTATTCCTTACCTTGTTTTTCCCTCCCATCTCCGTCAAAAGCATAGGGACACTTGCTCTGTCTATCCAGCATGTGGAATTTCACTATGTGCATCTCCTAAAAACTCCAGGAAAATTATAATTGAAGACTTAAAAGTGGGTTTAATTGTGTGGCCTGCTGGAGAATTTGATGTTTAGCTTTTATTGCCAGACACTCAGAGCCAGCACTGAGATTGGAGTAACCCAAAGAAAATTCCTGCTCCTGTAAATCTGCCTCTCCAGTTCAGGAATGCAGGTGTTTAACTCTGGAGCAGGAGCATGTCACAGCTCATCCTGAGTCCCCACGAGCCTGAGCAGTGTTCAGATGTCACTGTGAGATCAGAGCTGTGCTGGAGGGATCAACCTGCCCTGAGTCACCTGCCAAAAGGAGCAGCAGCACAATCCCACTGTGCCTTCCCTCAGCAGGAACAGAGTAGTTTGCTCTCGGCATTTCTAACGTGACAGAGGAATAAATCCCCAAAAAAGATGTTTTTTACAAGTGCAGGTAAAGCTGTTGTGCCTCAATTTGGAGCTGCCAGGCCCCAAAGCAGTACCCTGGGGCACCCACTGGGCACAGCCCGGGCACAGCACTCCCAGCACAGCTGGAGGCAACGTCATTCCAGCGCCGCTCCGGGACCTGGCCCTTGGAGCTGGGGGCTGTCTCTGCAGCTGTGCAGACACGTTCCCTGCCAGCTTTGTGGAGTCTGCCCCAGAAAAACGTCCTTTCTGGGGGAGGCAGCTTTCATCCCAAACTAGCAAACCCGTTCTGACAGCGCCGGAATTCTCCGGAGGTCACGGCTGCGGAGGGCGTTGCGTAAGATGAAAACACCCTGGGTTGAGGCTGTGGAGGAAAAGAGGCTTCACAGAGCTCCAGTGCAAGCTGGACACACAGTGTTTTCCTGTCTTCTGTGTTTTCCTGTCGCTTCTCTGTTGCTCCTTCCCAGGAAACATCAAGGGTTTGTGTTCAGTTGATAAATGTGACTCTCAGCTGCCTTTCCCCATGGTTTCGGAGCTGCCTTCGAGGCAGCAGAGAATGGGTTTAAAATTCCTGATTTCCTCCTAATTTCCCACTCATCCCCCAGAAGAGCTGTGGATCAATAGTGTGTCTCAGTATTGAGATACAGGGCTGTCACCCAAAACCATTTCCCTGCTCATACAGGCACTGACCTGCTCCTGAACCTTGGCTTTGTGCAGGTGCTTCTCCTTCAGCAAACAAGGGCGAACCCGCTGCTCTGCTTCAGCAAAAAATCTGAGCAAGTTTCCATTTGCACTGTAAATTTTAAAATATGGGACTGTTTCTCACCCAGAATTGTAAGAAAAACACTGGAATTTCAAGTGCTGAAAGGATGGGCTGAACACCGACCTTGATTCTTTTGTGTTGTTGCTTTTAATTTTCAAATTACCCCAATGAACTCTCTCTGTTGTAGAAAAAGCCTTTAATGTATGATCATAATTTAAATATTATATCAGTCCCTCGATGGATGATGGGAAAACCTTCCCCTTTCCTCGACTGCTCTCCAGTAATCCCCCAAAGGTTTGAAAGCACTCCCATTCCTCCTTGGAGCTGTTCCATATTGATTGCTGAATCCGAAATGACCTGAACATCTTAATATCTCATGTCTCTAAATCTATGACACCGAGATGAGAATGGGGTGGGAGAAGCTGGATCAGATGTTTGAAAACCTGTACCTCAGAGATGTAACCAACAGTGATTTCCTGTTAATTTTTAAGAGGAATTCTAAAGTACCACCTGGCGTTGGAGCTGACGCGTCCGGGCTTGTTCCTCTTTGTGGTTTCTCCCCTCCCAGGTTCCCCCTACGACTTCATCTCTCTGGAATGGCTGCAGAAATGGCTGGATGAGTCCACTCCTCCCAAACCTATCGACAACACGGCCTGCCTGTGCTCCCATGGCAAACTCCATCCCGATAAAATATCCCTGATGAAGAGGATTTCCGAATACGTGGCCGACTTCTTCTACCGGCGCTACGGGGGAGGGCCCCGGCTCAACGGTACCATCCCCTCTGGGGTGTGCTGGGCGTGTCTGAGAGCCTTCTTCTGGTCCCAACCCCATTTGGACCCCTCCTTGATCATCACAGCTTTATTTCAGTGCTTTAGTGCTGCGCTATTTCCGGGGATTTTTTTAATATCACTTAATTCTGTTAACATTCCCCAAACCCACCGAGTGGGGTTGCAGGGCCTGCTGTGTCCAGGGAGGGCTGTACCTGGAGGAATTGCTGAGGGTTGCTTAGAAAATCCCACACTTGGAAGGTTTGAAGGCGATTCTAGAAAATAAGGCTTGCACAAGGAACCCCCCCAAACTCTTGACAGTTCTTTGCTGTGCCTGCAGCACCCGCAGCTCCTGTGTGGGCAGAGTCTCAGGGAGCATTCAGGCCAAAAAAACCCCTTCCTGTCTGTCACCTCATCCAAGGAAGCACAGACCTGTTGGCCTGCATTCTCCTGCTGAAGCATCCACCACACATCCAGCTTTTTGGGGTCAGCCCAGCCCCTCCAGGCTTTGGCCACCCCTTCCTCGAGCCCCAGGCTTCATTCCTTTGAGGAAGGAGCTCAGTAACTCCCACTGAGACCAAATTAGCTCAGCTCCTACCAGGAGCTTGTAGGGAAGGAACTGCTGGTGACGCAGGCAGCCTTTGTGGGGAAAAACAGGGCAAGGTTTATTAGTCAAGTGGAAGATTTCCTGAAGGGTTGTGGGCTGAGTGTGGCTGGGAGGGAGGGATAAAAGGATGGATGGACACGCTGCTTCCCATCCCCTCTTGCTCCCAGATGAAAATACACACAATACACGCCCAGCTGTAGGATTTCCACTCCTTTGGTCCTGTGCAGCTTTGCAGGAGGGTGTTTTTTCTGGGTTTAACTGGTAAAATGCCACGATACAGGTGTTTTCCTGGCCTTTGTGTGCTGGGCTGACCTGGCTCCAAGTGCAAATGGTGGATAGCAGGACTCTGATAAGAGCTGTGGAGGGAGTGAAGCAGATTTCACCTCATTTGCAGCATTTTATGCTTATTTAAGCTTCAAATGTGGCCTGATAACCCCCAGGATCTCCTCATTTACACATGAAATCTCCCACCCTGAGGCCAGGATAGTTGGCACACACCAGTCTGAGGATGGTCAAACCGGCAATAAGACACCTGTGCAATAAATTGTGCAAGAAATAGTGTAATAAATTGTGTTTTCCCCCCCCACCCCAGTCAAAGCACTTTGCAAGGACTGCGTGGTGGAAAGGTGTCGAATCCTGCGGCTCAAAAACCAGCTGAACGAAGACTACAAAACTGTGACCAACCTACTGAAGGTCACAGTCAAGGGGTATGTCAGTGCCAAGTGCTTTTTAGAAGTGCCTCTATAGCTTTTTCCTAAAGATTTTACTGGTTGAGCTCTGAAGGAGAAGGGGGCTGTGATTTTGTGGTGATTTTCCTTGGTCTCTCTCCCTGCAGGAACGATGGGTTTTGGGTTGGAAAAGCATCTTTGAGGAGCTGGCGTCAGCTGGCTCTGGAGCAGCTGAATGAGCAAGATGAAGATGCAGAGCACAGTAACGGAAAAATGAATGGAAATGCACAAAACAAAGGTATTCCCTCCTGATTTCCTCCTAATTCCTGCTGTACTGACCCAACAGCTCTGCCTGGTCCCTCCTACAAAAGCCACATCGGGGTGTTTCTGTAGCTGTTTTGTTTCCCTTGTATGAGTAGGGAGGAGAGGATAATAAATCAAATAAACTTCCTTTTAAGGAGCTTTTTCTTTGCTAAGCTTGGAAACTGCGGGGTGATCTTCATACCTGGAGAGGGAGATGAGGGGATAAGTGGTTTTACAAAGCTGTGTGAAATTACCCCCCCAGCCACACGATGTTTTCATCCTTCTCTGAGTGAGGGAGCACAGGGGAGGAAGGAACATGAAAATTACCTTGGGGAAAGGGATGATGATGATGTTTGTTGTGAAGGTTGAGGGATGAAACAGCACAGGTGATGCAGCAGCGCTGGGAAAACACAGCCTAGGAACAAAAATCATTAATTGGACCCAATTCTGTGCCCACATCATGAGACTAAGTGGGGGGTTATTTGCCTTCTGCTCTTTAAATCTTTGGAAATTACGTTTTGGTGGCCTTTTTTGAACTGAGGGGAAGAAGCTGGTTGGAATGAAAGTGGGGATGACGGCTTGTGGCATTGATCTTGGGCTTGGAGGCTTGAGAACACCCCCCCACCCCGATAATGTCTGTAAGGTGGAGCACCCAGTGAGAAAAGGGCATTTCTGAGCTACCACTCGCATTTCCTCGGGGCTGCCTCTGATTTACAACAGGTTGCAACTCCCAGTAGTACAATTGAATTACTCACGAGCCAAGTTGCTCGTTAAGCAGCTCGTTAGAGCCTCTTACTGACACCTCATTGTCTTCCTGATGCTCCACTCAGCGGCCAAAGCTTCTGTGTGTGGAGTTATGGATTTTAACTGGAATTCAGACGTTGATTTGGGGCCTGTCAACCCCCTGCCGGCTTCCCTCTCGGTTTGTCGGGCAGCATCTGGTTTAGATCAGGAATTTTTGCCAGGAATTCTGCTGCCTTTGCTCTTACCTAGGCTTGTTTAGGTTAAACTCGGGAGATCCTTGGGAGCAGCGAACCCCCGCGGTGTTCCAGCCCTAACAAATGCATCCTTTGTAATCTCACAAAGGCTTGGCTTGTGCTCCACGCACTTCAAAGCCCTCCTACGTGGCCTGGAGGCTGTAATCCCGCCTGCCCAGAGGCCAAGACATCAGAGAACAACAAATTTCCTTCCAAATTTTCCCTTGGGTTGAGGGTTTTGCTGGAATTTGAAAGGCGACCGCGCTCCTTTCCCCCTCCCACCCTGCCATAAGATTTTTCCTTGGGAAGAGCAACTCTGTGCAATCCTCTTGTCTTACTGATTATTTTTTTCAATCAGATGAATCAAACGAAGAGAAGAGGGAGGAGGAAGAGGAGTTAAATTTTAATGAAGACATCGTTTGCCCACATGGTGAGTGTCTCCGGGGGTTGGAGCTGAATGTCTCCCTTGTGTCCCACTGCTCCACACATGAACCTCGTAGCCTTTGCTCCAACTGCAGCCAACGTGAGGAGCCACTGCAGAAATGTGCTTCATTCTCATTTTCCTGGTGGTTCTTGCACTCAGAAGTTTTACTTGCAGGCAGATCCTGTGAGGGCTCAGCCAAGCTGAGCTTCTCCCCCTCTCGCGGCATCCTGGGCAGCACCAAAGCTCTCCAGCCGCTTGGAAGCTCTGAAAGCATTAAGAGAGAAAGAGGTGGTGTAAATCACTCCAGGTGGGAGCTCCGAGGGTCCATTTAATCCTGGTTTACATTAGAACAGGAGCACTCAGCCAACACCTGGGCTGGGACCTCCGGATATCGATCTCCCAACCTGCTGAGCTTTGGTGTCTGTTTACAGAAGGTTTTGACCCCGTGTGGGTTGTTTTCCGAGTGATGCCTCATTAGCTGCATCCTTGGCTACCCTGTTGTTTAAATCTCACTTTTTAAAGCTCCTATTCCCAGACATAACTCTGTTTTACTTAAGCTCCTCTTCGTAGGCACTGATTTCCCTACTGGGGAGGCTCCATCTTATCCCTAATAAGAAAGAAAAATGCCATAAATTAGCCACACTCCTCCTGTCATCAGGGCTAATCAAGAACCTAGAGTAAGGGTGGAAAAAGCTCATTTTCGAGGCGGGTGTTTAAGCACTTTGTCACGATTTTATCTGTTACTCAGAGCCTTGAACAGCCACGTTTCCCGTTGCCTCGAGGCTGCTGCTGTTCAATAAAAGCAGGGAGTGTGGGGATAGAACATTTATGTAGCCAGACACGATAAAAAATAGGCCAATAGGCCTTTGGAAAATGTTATGGTGTTAAATTGCTGGTTGATCTGTGACTTTGGGTCAGAGCAGAATAAATAATACTGGCTAAGGGGCTGCTGGCAGGGCAGGTTTTGTTGTCTTGAGCTAACCTTTGATTATTCATGGAAAACAACCTTTCCACCTTGAAAAATTCTCTCTGGAGTGGATCAGCAAATCTGTAGTCTTGTTCCTACAGCCTTAATTTTGTGGTGGAGGAGGTTCCTGCCTCTGTGGGAGGCTCTGGAAAAGCCAGGGCTGGCTCTGGGAGGGCTGGCTGGCCTCCAGGAATGCCACCCGGGCGTTCCCTTCTTGACTCCCTTTGCATCCTTGCTGTAATTCCTCGCTCTCCAGTAGCTGCCTGATCCCAGTGAATAATTTTTTCCAGATACCAAGTTAAGCCTTTCTTTGATGTCCGTGCCCAAAACATGTCCCTGGATGGTGGGAGTGGGAAACAGGGTCAGCAGCGGTTGGGATCATCTTCCAGATGGCAAAACACTTGTTCCTGCACACCCAGAGCTGATTTTTCCTCCTCTTTTCCTCACCATATTAATCTGTTTTAATTAATCATGTGGTGTCAAGGCATTTATTTGTACAGGCTCCTCTTCTTCCCCATCCTTGGCTCTGGACAACATCCTGGTCCAACCTCCGGAGCCGCTTGGCCGTGTTGGATGAGGCCCAAGTGGCCAAGTGCTGCATCGAGGCCTGACCTTTGTTTATTAGAGGAAAAGCAGGAGGGGATGGTTGCTATTTTTTCCTCTCCAGGGCTGGCCAAATTCCAGGCTGGGCTGGAGCAAATCCGTGAGCCCGGAGGAGCTGCTTGTCATGTTAAAGAGCTACCAGAGGGTGGGGAGGAAGGAGTTTCTCTCCCTCTCCTCTCTCTGCAGCTCTCCAGGCTATAGAAAAGCAGATAATAAGGTATTGTGCCCTTTGGATACGGCAGTTGCTGTTTTCCTTCCCTCTTGCTGGTGCAATCCCCACCGAGGCAGGAACATTCCCAAATCCGGTTTGCATCCCGGTGTCGCAACGGCTGCTCCTCGTGTTTCTCCCGGGGCCTGCTCATAGCACAGTGACTTCCAGCTGCTGTCTCAGAGGGGGATGTGGTTGTGTTTTCCCCTTGGATATCATCACCCCTGCAAGGGGCAGCTGGTCGGATCCTGGAGCCTTCTCCAGTTTTCCCAAGCCTTGTTTATCCGGAGCGTGTGTTGTCATGTGTGCACGTGGTGTCCAAGAGCCTGGGTGTGTCTCCTGCTTCCATCCCTGAGATGGCAGGCACAAATGGCTCCTGCTAAACCCTTCCTGGGCTTTTTGAGCTGCCTGAGCACCGGGATAAATAATCCTGATAGCAGGATAAATAATCCTGATGGATAAATAAGTTGTCTGGGGGACAGCTGGTACATCTTGCCCGGTGTCTTCACACCCCGGTGATTCCCCAGAGCAGATTTAGGGTGCCAAATCTGCCCTTGCCACATTTTGAGGTGCTTGGATAGGGCATGTGAAGCCATCTGAGATTCTGCAGGGGGAATTTGGGGTTTCAAGGATGTGGAGACCACCTGGCTTCTGTTCCATGGGACATGGGGTTAGTCTGGGGCTTGGTGCATGGAGACACTGTGGGGGTATAGCTGGGGAGGAGGAACCAGTAGCCCTGTGCCCTCTTTGGCTTTTCCCAGCATCCCTGCTTGTGTTTGATCAGCTTGGAAATCCAAAGGACATTTTTATGAATTAATATTATTATTATTATTATTATTATTATTATTATTATTACTGGTATTAATATTTTTCCTTGTCTAAGGGAAGCAAGGCAGGAGTTGAAGGTGACTTTGTCGGCTGGGCTGGTTTTTGCTGACGTGGTTTTGGCTGCTAAACGTGTGGATCTCTTCCCCCACCTTTATTCCCTGTAATCTCTTCAATCAAGGGCTGCAAAACATCCCTGAGCATGTTGTGATCAAAGCCCTTGCCTTGATTCTGTCCCTGCAGGTGACCTGTGCATCTCCGAGAACGAGCGCAGGGTGGTTTCCAAGGAAGCCTGGGAGAAACTCAAGCAATATTTCCCAAAAGCCCCCGAATTCCCAAATAACAAAGAGTGCTGTTCCCAGTGCAAGGTATTTACTAAATATTCCCCTTTTTGTTGACTGTAAATACTGGTTGTGTTTCTGGTTTCCCTTTTGTCACGACCCTGTGCCGTGGAGGGGAATAATGGCACCTTTTAGTGCAGCTGGGATGGAATTCACTGTTTCCTGCAGATTTTGGAGCGTGAAGGGGAGGAAAACGAAGCTCTGCACAAGATGATGGCCAGTGAGCAGAAGACTTCTCTCCAGAACCTGTTCCATGACAAATGCAGGCCTTGCCTGGGCAGTTGGCCTCAGGTAGGGAAGGAGGGGAACCAGGGAATTGCAGCCGGGCTTGGGGCAGGTTTTATTGGCTTTTATCCTCTCCTTCCAGAGAAGCTGTGGCTGCCCCATCCCTGGAAGTGTTCCAGGCCGGGTTGGACAGGGCTTGGAGCAACCTGGGATAGTGGAAGGTGTCCCTGCCCATGGCAGGGGAGTGGAATGAGATCCTTAAGGTCCCTTCCAACCCAACCCACTCCGTAACTGTTCTCTCAGTCCCTGCCAGCGGAGCTCACACGTGTGCTGTGCTGAGGTGTGATTTCCCTGGATTAGCTGTGCTGGCACAGAGCCCTAAAGAGCCACAGGAATGGCTCCTGTGCCAAGGGAGCTGTGGCTGGCCCAGAATCAGCCAGATAACAGAGACAATATTGCTGCTGGGATTGTATCCGTCCCTGGAAGGATGGAAACATTGTGGCCGCGCCGGTGGAAGTGACTTTTCTACCTCCTTCCATCAGCCTTCCCAGGTTAGAGGATGCTGGAACACACCTGAGTTCTGCCCCACCACCAGCTTTGGCTGCTCCAGGTGTACTCCAGCATCCTCCTGCATCCCAGGAGCTCAGGAGGAGCTCCCCAAAATGCTGACACCCTATAAAGAGCCGCAACGGCTGTGCAAACCCTCTCCTGGCGGCTGCTCCGGGACTTTTTGGGGATTTAGGGTGGCCCAAAAGGAGTGGAACAAGCTCTTGGTTCACTTCTTGGCTCCTGGGAGTCTTGTGGTGCTGATTAATGGTTGGCTCTCCAATCCTGCCAAGGTGCTTTGGCAGGTCTCTGCCTCGGTCCCTCGCTGCTCCAGCTGGGAATAAGTACTGAGGCAATGTGGATCCATGGCTTGGAACCAAGGAGACCCAGAAGGGTTTAAAGGGAGTTTCCCTTCTGTGCTGAGCTGGAGAGCTCCAGGTCCTGCCAGGGGTGTTAAAGGCTTGTATCTGGCAGGATTTGCCTTTGGAGCTGGAGGAGGTGATGGAAAGCTGGAGCCTGTCACTGGTGGTCGGAAACAGGAACCTCTCCACCACTGGGGCTGCATCCTCCTTTCCCTTTGGATCCTCCTTTCCCTTGGAATTCCCCAAGGGAGCCTGATAAAAGAGAGCTGAGGATCTTTCCCTCAAGCTTTTGGAGTTTTCCTGATCCAAAACAGTTGAGGGGTTTGGGGAGGGAAAACAAGCAGAGTGGTTTAATCTAGAGATTAAGGGAGATTAAATATATATATTCCTCAGGTGTGCTGAGTTTTCCTGCAGAAAGATGGAGCAAGCCCTTAATTGCATGGTAGGGAAGATGGTGAGGATATAGATGATCATGGAAGTGATTTTGCCACCCAGCTCTTGGGATCTAGGTGGTTTTTTGTTCAGGAGCAAACAATTTAATGGTAAATTGAGACAAGAAGACAGGGTTTATCCCAAAAACACTGCCTTGTTGGGTGCACAGCTGGGGTTTTTTATTCCTGCTGCTGCTGGAAGGAAAAACCTGTGGATTTTGATGTTGGAAGCAAGTGATGGAGGTTGGGGTGGTCTCTGACCACGAGTACCCAGCGAGAGAAAACAGCACTTGGCCTCTCCAGGGAAATGCCCCTTTCCCGCTGGGAATTAAAGGTAATTGGATTGAAAGCTTGACTAACTTTGTAATAAACATGAGATTAGTAAAGTCAGTGCTTAGTACTTGATCCCAAATTATTTCCTTGGCTTTCCCAGCGTGCTGGGATGGAGTTGTCATGGTAAAACCGCGCCGAGGTCCGGGAGGGAGCGAGCGCTGCCGACAAACCTATTGCTGGGTTCATTAAAAAGATCCCTTTTCCTTCTCTTTTCCCCCCAGGAGACAGATGAGCTGTATATTGTTTCGCAGTTCTTTGTAGAAGAATGGAGGAAATTTGTCAGGTAATTTTGGCTGGAGGGTTTTGGTGCTTTTTATCCCATGTTTTGGGGGCTGTAGGTAACATTTTGCTTCCGAATGCCAGCACGGTTCATGGAAACAAGGAAACCGATTTTTGCAGGACTTGTGTTGGTTGTACAACACTGAATTTCCTTGTTTACCATGTGTTAACCAGATGGTCGGATTAGCTGGTAACCTGATTAGTTTTTTCATCTGTCTGGAGCTGTAGCCCAAAGGTCACCTCTCAGTCCTGTTTGCACAGGCTGGAGATGGAAATCTCCCCTGGACAGAATCGTTTTGCAGCACAGAGGAACGTGGATCTGATTTCCTCATCACTTGTAGTTAATATTCCATGTTGGAATGCCTTCTGTAAATAATTCACCTGTGATTTCTTCTTGGCTGCCTGCAGAACTGGGGGGGGTTTGGTGGGATAAGGTGGGATAAGCTGGTCCAGCTTTCCAAACCACCTTCCCTTTTGCAGGAGGCCGACACGCTGCAGCCCCGTGTCCTCCATAGCCAACAGTGTCCTGCTCTGCCCCCATGGGGGGCTCATGTTCACCTTCGCTTCCATGACCAAAGAAGACTCCAAACAGTGAGTTTCTCCCCTTCACACATTTTCCTTTCCCCAGGAGAACAGTCCAAAAGGAATATTCTTGCTGCCGAGCCGCAGCGAGACGGGGAGCGAATCCTTTCCCTCAAACTAAATCAACACCTCAGCTTTCTCAGAGCCACCTCAACCTTCCTGCCAGGCAAGACCTAAATTGTCCGAGGATGCTGGGTCAGGAAAAAAGAGCTTCCTTCAGCTTGGTTAGTTCCTGACAATAACCACCCTGGATTTGACCGGGGCGCAGGAACATCCTTCTTCCTTACAATTTGCTTTCCGTGCGCGTTCCCCCCCGGAGCGCTGCACTTGGTGCTCCGTGGCGTTGTTTCTGCAGTGATGCAGCACTGAAAGTAGAAAATCTTCCCCTCCTTCCCTCCTCCATCCCTCCCTCCGGCACGGCAGGAGCACAGCAGCGTCACTAATCACAGCCTGCCGCCAGCGGGGTGTGCGGGCCCTCCCCTGCAGCTGATTTTGGGGGGGATTTTGGCGGTTTTCTTTTGTTAAAATGCTGAAGAAGGAGGAGGGTTTTTTTGGGGGGGAGCTTGGCTTTTCCATGTCATAAATCACCTGCCTGTTCCTTTGCACAGTATAGCTCTGATATGGCCCAGCGAGTGGGAGAGGATCCAAAAGCTCTTTGTGGTGGATCACGTCATCAAGATCACCCGGACACAGGGTCCCGAGGGCACCCGCTACACCTCGGAGCCCCGTGAGTCACTCTGCTCCCTGGGCTCTGGGAATGGCTCTTGGAGGATAAGAAGTGAAGTCTGAGGGGTTTGGTGGTAAACATGGAGCTTGGCAGGTTCCCCACCTGGAGCAATGTGTCCAGCTCGGGGATCCCCAGCTCAGGAAGGACGTGGAGCTGCTGGAGCGAGTCCAGAGGAGGCCACGGAGATGCTCCAAGGGCTGGAGCCCCTCTGCTCTGGAGCCGGGCTGGGAGAGCTGGGGGGGGTCAGCTGGAGAAGAGAAGCTCCAGGGAGACCTGAGAGCCCCTTCCAGGGCCTAAAGGGGCTCCAGGAGAGCTGGAGAGGGACTTGGGACAAGGGATGGAGGGACAGGACAAGGGGGAATGGTTTTAAACTAAAAGAAGGGAAATTTAGATGGGATATTGAGATGGAATTCTTCCCTATGAGCGTGGTGAGGCCCTGGCACAGGTTGCCCAGAGAAGCTCTGGCTGCCCCATCTCTGGAAGTGTCCAAGGCCAGTTTGGACAGGGCTTGGAGCAAGTGGAAGGTGACCCTGCCCATGGGAGGGATGAGGTTTAAGGTCCTTCCCAACCCAAACCATTCAGGAATTCAATTGATCCACTCCAGGTTGGCAGTGAGAGGCACTGGGATGGAGTCTCCGAGGAGCTGAAGCAATTAAATATGGGGTTTTTTCCTTGGAAATAAGTTTATTAAACACATTAACACATTAACTATGTTTATTAACATATTAAATCTGCTTTTTTCCCAGAGCTGTGCCCGGAGTGCCGGGAAGGGCTCCTGTGCCAGCAGCAGCGGGACCTGCGCGAGTACACCCAGGCCACGGTGTACGTGCACAAAGTGGTGGATAACAAAAAGGTACCGACAGGCTCCCCCTCCATCCTGCTCAGGGAGTGCCAGGAATGCCCTGAGGGGGGGTCTCACAGCCCCCCGGGGCTGGGACCCACTGCTGGGGTCCCTGGTGCTGGGGAGGGCAGAAATCCCCCGGCTCTGTGGCTCCAGCTTTGGCCAAACCAGCACATGGAACGTTCTGGCTCTGAAAATTCAGTCTCCTTTTGCCAAACGGAATCCTTTGTGTTTTCAGGGATGCTCCCAGCTGTTTCTTCTGTCTCAGCTGTGTTCCCAGGCTCTACCTGCTCTCCTCCCCCTCCAATATTTGTCATTTCCTTTCTACTTGCTCAAGTGACATTTATCCCTGGATAGAAATAAGCTCTGGTGAGAGGCTGAACTCCGAGATGGTTTTCAGGATCCCTGGAAGCTGCAAATTATGTTTTCACTGATCTTAAGTGTCAGGATCAACTCCAGAATTGCTTTTCCAGGGACCCAAATCTGGCTCTGGTGGAACTTAGGGCTTTTTAGGAGGCAGCCAAGGCTGGTGGGCACTTGGGATCAAGACGTTCCCTGCACTTCTGCAGGGTGGGAGTGGGTTTGTTTTGGCCTTCCATTGATTTCCACCTCCCTGCCAATCCCAAGGAGGCGCTGGAGCCCAGAGAACCGCAGGGAGCCGGAGGCTGGATGGGTTCCTGCCTGGCTTGTGAGACGTGGAGCAGCAGCACGTCTGGAACCATCAGCCTGAATCCCGAGGCTGGATCCGCCTTGGCTCCGCCGCAGGAGAGGCTTGGGGGTTGTGTTTTTCTGGCACTGGCCAGGGCTGTGCTCACACGTGGGGCTGGCAAAAAAACAGGGAGCTATTCTTTGTGGAGCAGCTGGAGCTGGAGAGAGGGGGCGAGAGAGTGCCCACGAGATTCCCTCAGTAACGGGGCAGGGATGGGAAGCAGCAGGAATGCCAGCCGGGATCACTGGGAGCCACTGTGTCCTTTCTGCTGGGCTTTGCAAAGTCAGGGAGTGTTTCCCAGCCCCTCACCCCTTCTCCTCCCCCTGCTACCTCCTTGGGGTGCAAGAGGGAAGTCCCATTTGGATAAAATCGTTGTAGGATGGCACTGCTGGAATTCTGAGAGCTCTGAGGAATGTTTGTGAGCTGGGATTGCTTCAATGATTTTAAATATATTGATGGAGTTGTGAGTTCTCGGGCATCCAGGTCTCCTGAGCTCCTGCAACCCCAGCTCCAGCCACAGCATAGATGGGAATTCACATCCAGGCAAATCCATGTCTCCTGTAGTGACTTCCACAGACCTGAACGTCCCTTTTATTTATGTATTTGTGTAAATTGTTTAGGTTTCATTTACTTACACCCTGCAGCCCCATAAATAATGGTTCTGAGTCCCTCTGCAGGGAGGGACAAGTGTCTTAATTTACAGATAATATTCCTTTCTCCATGGTGAGGCTTTTGTAATGCACTTGGATCAACCAGCTACTGAGAAAGGAATCAGTCCAGGCCCCGGGAGACTTTCCCTTTGCCTGGAGAGAAGGGCAGGAAGCACCTGCAGCTCCATAGAGGGGGATTCCTGAGCCGAATCCCCCCGAGGTCCCACGCAGCTGGGGAGGGTGGAGGAGCCTTTTCAGAGCTCCTGGAGCAGCTCCCGGGGTTATTCCCGGGCTCTGTGGGTGGAGGTGGCACCAGGAAGGTCTCCAGGAGCTGATTCCATGGTGGGACAGTCCGGGTGGGTGCTGTTGGTCACAGCAGAGTGGTTTTTGTGACTCCAGGTGATGAAGGACGCGGCTCCGGAGCTGAACGTGAGCAGCTCGGAGGCTGAAGAGGAAAGGGAGGAAAACAAGCCAGAGGGGGAGCAGGACCCCGATTTTAACCAGGTAGAGATGAAAAATCCCAGCAGGTTCCTTGATTTCTGCATCATCCTCCAGAGTCAGCACGACAGGGTCACCTCCCTCCTCCTCTGGGTCCGACTGGTGGGGGACACGTGTCTCAAAGTGTCACTGGAACGGTCAGACCACACCAGTGCTGGTTTTTGGAGAGGTTAAACCTGGACAGGGACTCGTCTGCCCGTGGAAATCTGCCCCACGCTGGCATTAGGACCAGGAACTGAGGCTTGAAGGCAAATCCTTTGGTCTTCTCCACACTTGCACGTTTCAGTTGGCTTTCCAAGGGATTTTCCATCGCTTCCCGCCTTCCCTCGCATGACCAACTCTCCCCAAACATCCTCTGGGATACGGGGAACTTGTGTTTATTCCCAAATAACTTGATCT